CATGTGTCCCATCCTGTGTGAAGTGGAGCACTTTGGTTTCTCTGCAGCCTCTAAATTATATATAGCAGTTCATTCATCTTGTTATTAACACTGATTAATAATCAAATAGGATTTATATTATTATTCAGGGTGTGAGCCAGAATACACCATTGAACACAATGACCCCCTTTAAACATCAAATCTCTATAACCTCAACTCTGGACCCACTTAACCCCCATAAAATCAAGGGCGGGATCAATACTGTTAGCGGGCTTTTCATTTTTACATCTTTTAAGCTTTGTCAACATTTCTTTTTTTGAGTTAGCCAAACTACAGAATGAAATGAAAGATGTTTTTTAGCCATAATTTACTGTGCAAGTAATTTTCCTGTGAATGACGGTACTGACTGATAACTAACACTAGCTGATAATAAATAATAGCTGGAGTGTCTCAGTTATAATTTTAAGTACTTCACATCAGTATTTTCCTCACCTGAAAAGCAGCTTATCCTGTCATTTTGTGAAATGATTATGTTAGCTAAGGTAACATTAGCTCAGCAGCCAAAGTGTAGACTGAGAGCTGTCAACAGGATTCATTTAGATGGTATCTTAAATCTTCGCCAGCGATTTGTCATTATTAACATGAGTAGACAACTACAAGCAGTCACCATTAAATTACTTTTGAATGTAATGATTAGAATAATGAAAAGGTAATTTAAGGAATCAGAATGTAGCTATTCTCACTAGTGAGCTACAGGAAAAGTCTGGCTTTCTAGATACAGATACATTTCTTTGAAGTTGACTGCAAGCTAAATACTGATTAAAATATTTGTCCGTCACAATTAAACCCTAGCAAAACAAAGAGCCATACCTGATGACCCTATTTTTGATCCATATGATTTTTATAATTTCCTAAAAAGAATTTAGATGTTTGTTGTAATTAAAAATGGAAATAGTTATATGTCAAATATAATGTCAATCAATTTTTATATCATTTAATATTAGTTTGTAGCACTCACTAGATGTAAAGTGTTCACAGTATTGTTTTTGTGTATGGAGCAATGACCCCCTACCAAAGGATTACTGGGCCAAAGATCCCCTCCTAAACACTGATTATTGTTATATCGCCTAGGTCAATTATGCCAATTGGTGCTGAAATAATTTTTTGACTAGTGGAATACTCTATCTACAGGAAATTATCATAATTCTTTCTTCTTTTTTTTCTTTTATCAGGACAAATGCTAAACAGTCATTGTTTTTATTCTCCAATATGAGGACTTGCTGTTTTTTCTGATTTATCTCATTATATAATGTACATGTTTGGGGTATGGAGTTTCAGTTAGACAACAAGCTTTCTGAAGACATCACCTCTGGTTTTAAAAATTGTGAAGGGGGTGAATTTTTATTGTTTGTTGATATTGTATAGATTTTTAATTTTGCAATGAAATTTGCAGTGTGGTTAGGAGTCTGTTTGAGTTTTCATAGTTCATGAAGAGGCTAGAAGTAATTGCATCATTATTTGCTCCTCTTTTACATGACTCGGTGAATGGTACATTATTTACAAACTCTGGGGAGCCTATCACTTTCAGTCTGTTTCTTCCGGTGCTGTGGCAAACTCTGCAGTGGAAAGGTCAAACGTTCTGGCATTTATTGAAAATGTCTAGCTGTGATTTTACATTTAGGGCTCTCTGTCTGGTGGGGCTAAGACGTGCTGAGACTGGATGAGGGTGAAGTCAAGGTCATCCTGGTTGTCTGTCCCCATCAGGTTTTAAAGAAAACTCCAGTCTGCAAAATGCTGGCTCTCCTTCAGCAGCAGAACAAATGTTGGTGGAGCTAGCTAGTGGATCGATGTTTAAGAGGGTACACTGTATGAAAAAGAGGAATCACATTATTGAAGTGGTAGCGCACTAAACACATTTCTTCTCTTCGTAGTCACTGGGGAAACAGAATAATTGCTTACGAGGCTTGTATTTAAATGTATGTGCTCTAAAGGCGATAAACAGCACAGAAAATCGATTCAGGGAGAGTGATGAAAATCTACTTTTTTTGAAAGATGCTTAATTTTGGTTAGATGATTTAAGAAGATGATTAGCAAAACCACATTTGCAAAGTCACTGAATAGTATATAGTATATACTAGTAAATATACTACTAGTATATTTTTAGATTTTGGGGAATATTAATTCACCTTCTTTTCTGAAGTGAGATGCAAACATTAATATTACTCTCATATTAGCTTAGCTGTAGCTTAGCTTTGTCCAAGTGAAACAAAAAAACTACTACGAACACCTCTAAAGCTCTTTAATTAACAGAGTGAAAAAATATAACCCCTAGAGGAATTAACAAAATATATATTCTTCTTCTTAACACACTGTAAATCATTTAATCCATCCACAGTTTGGGGATTTTTTTGGCTAGCTGTTTCCCCTGCTTTCAGTCTTTTTGCTAAACTAAGCTAATCAAGTCCCACCTTCAGCTACACGTAGACTACCATTGTTGTTGTCTTACAACCACAAACTCTCAGTCAGATTACAGTGAATAGCCTATAGGTGTTTAAATTAATATATTCATATTTAAGTATGCATTACTGTCTGACACCGCAAAAAAAATAATCTTTTTTAACCACTTTCAGAAGCCCACCAACTTTTCACCCCGGTGGAGGGAAACTTTAGCCTTGATGTTAATATTTCTTTTGTGTGCTGATTAAACAAAGGAGACACTACATGTTTACCCCTTGTTGCCTGAATTTATTTACAATAGAAAATAATTTGGTATAATGCAAATTAGCGACAACAGGCATAAACGAGAAACCAGTGCTTGCGAAAGGTTCCCAGGTATGTATTGAATATGCGCAAACAGGCATTGGGGAATACATATGCTATCTCAGCTGCAGTCTGACAGGAAGAGGTTTGATGCGAATTTGCGACAATCGGCGTTAAGGGTTTGTAATTAGTGAGGCTTTAGGTGTTGGTAGGTGTTTTGTTGAACTATGGACAGAACCAGGCCAGAAGTTTCCAGCTAATCACATCCTGACACCAGCTCCATCAACTCGACATCAATGTGCTCATCTCGATCTTGAGAAAAAAGTAAACAAATGTATTCCCCCAAAACTATGCCTTCAAAGAACTGTAACTTAGCAGCTTAATAATGCACACAAGTAAGTTAGAATTGATTTTCCTATGTCTAATTTAAGTAAATTCGGTTTTACAGGCTGAGCAGTAAGTTGCACCACAACTACTGTAGTAACAACAAATTCTGTCCACCTCAACTGGAGTCAGGTCTTGCCGTCTGCCTAATTAAGGGGTTAAGGGGAGAGGTTGGTGTGATCTGGCCGGCGGTTCTATGTATCTCTGTGTCATCAGTGTCTTGCTGTGCTTCATCCCAAGGTTGCTGCTTGCAGCCGTTGCCAGGCTGGCTGTGAGCTGCGGGCTGCATGCAGGGGGTAAGGCCTTTCTCTGCCCAGCTCCAGGGCAGGTGTGAGGAGGCTTACGGCCTGAGTCAAGGTTAGCACACAGTGAAGGAGTATGGCGCTGTGGGGTTTGTCCAAGAAAATGCAGCAGGGCTAAGAGTCAGACTTGTGAACAATTATAGTGGGAGTAGCTGTCATCCATCTAGCTCTCATAACACTGCAAAAGAAGTGTTGCAGAGAATTCTTTTCATGGACCTTTCTGTCACTTACTCATTAGACTCAGATTGATGGATTCTAAAAGCCAACTCCTGCTATTTCTGCATTATAATCAGCTCATTTTGTCTTTGTTTCTATTTCACTTTCTTGGTTTGTTCCCCTCTGTCTAAGACCCTGCAGTGTTAGAAGTTTAAAGCCTTAATGATGGGGAAGCTGTCAGAGAACGCTGACCCACCCATGCAGCTTGATAACGTGAGTGAAAGTCTTTGTGTGTTTGTGCTCCCTCGTGCGCCTCTTCCCTTTTGTGGACAATCGTCAGAGGGAGAGAAGTGTTTTGCTTAATTTGGGAAGGTGCTCAGTCCAAGCAAGGATGACTGTTAAATTGTTTGGTGCTACTGTATACTAGTGCACCCAGGTCGGTTCAAGTTCAGTATAGCTAAGTTAAAAGCTGTAATTGTAGTTGAAATGGGTGAAACTGAAAACGTCCTTCAAAGATTCTGTGCAGTGATGTGAAGATACGAGTTTGCTTTCCATCCCTCTCTCCTACTCAGTGGGAATGTCGTAAACGATCCACAGTAACAAATATCCAACGTCCCCGGCCCAACACGCACACACAAACAGATGATAAACTGACAGTTTGTTTTTGTGACAGAGCCAGAACATGTGCAAACATGCTGATTTTGCTGTAAACTTGTGTTGCTATGTTTGTAGAACGCAGATGAAAATGCAGACATGGTTGACAGGTTTCTGCATGGCAGCCGCTCAGAAGTCTGTCCGCAGCAGCTTGCAAACTCATAAATAACAGACCTCACAAGGCCTAGTTGAAAACCCTGTCCAGCATGTAATGCGTGAAAAAGCCAGGACAATTCAGTGTTCCACTATTGGATATATGTGTAGGCCCAGAACAAAAAGGAAGAAGAAAATCTAGAATAAAAGGCGACATATGGTTGGTACCACAGTGATGGAAAGACTTAGAACACTACTTACTATTTTCAGTCAGGCTGCGTGGGTTGAAACATGCTGTTATGCTCCGAAGGTGCGATGATTTCAAAGCAGAGCGAGATCTACATCTAAATGTCTCACTGTAAATTCCTTTGATATGTTTTTTCCCCATTTCTACCTTCCGTCCAACAGTTGCTGAGAACTCCTGTCCCTGCACCTTGAATGGCTTCAAAGTTGAAAGCAGAATCAAGGATGTTCCACGTTGTTCCTGTTTCTCTCTCATTATATTAGTTATTATCCCATAGTCCACTCTGCTTTCTTTCAAGTTCAGTGGCGTCCTGCATACTGGCAGAACCTTACTGCATTTACAGAGATTGTTGTAGCCACTTATACAAGCCATGGCTCTTAGCTCTTGCCTCATGGGTGGTTTACTGTATCAATGTTTTTCTCCCATAGGTTGTGACCCTGGGGAAGAACAGTCGTGGTTACCACTACATTCTGGCCAATCTTGTGAGTAATAAGCCGCTCTCGTGGGAGAGAGTGGAACCTCCTTTCTTAGTTTTTTCTCTCTACTATACATATATATATATATATATATATATATATATATATATATATATATATATGTATATTAAGAGAAAAAACTGAGATATATATACATAGGGATTTTTATGTTTGTTGTCCATGCCTTATCAGTCATAATCTGGCAGCCATACTACTGGCTGCATGTTTTCCATAAATGAATATATTCATATTTAGGTATAAATGAATGTCCTAAGCAATAAATAAACAGCATTTAACCCTTTTAACCATCTTTGGAGGGCAGCCATCTTCTTAATATCATTTAGCCTTGATATTAGCATATAGAGTTTTAAAGTAGAGGCCGGCCCTGCTCTCACTAGCTGATCCCCTGCTGCTGTTTCCCCTGACTTTAGAAGATGTGATTATGCAGCAGTCAGACACATGTCCTTGCACGCCGTGACACAACGTTGCACTTAAAAAACAGCAATTTGACCATAAAAAGAAATATCTCCATGTCATGGCTCTAGGGTGAAGAAGGGAATTTAAAGGCAGCTGGAGCAGCAGAGGTTTTTGAAATGCATTAGAAAATGTGTGTTTTTTTTACATGGCAAAGCAATCTGAATGAAAGTAGGCCAGCTGGTTCAAGTAAAATATTTAGTCTTCTTCATTATCTAACATAACATTAGTATCTACTGGCAGGTTGTTTATCTGTAAGTGAATTCACGTTACACCACAACGTGTGAAAAGAAACATTTGCCTCGGTGTAATGGCAAACACATGTTGCTTTCATAGTTCATAATGAAATGCACCTTGCATGCTGCCAGAAGAGCTGCTAATATTTTTGTGATGCTTTACCCCAGGTTATATTAAAAAACTCAAAGGAAAAGCAAATCATGTGTGCTCTCCTCCTCCGTTTCCCGTTTGTCTCATCTCAGGGATTTTCTAATGTGAGCTTGGACAAAGTCTTCGCCGGTGGAGCCAACATTTCAGGGTTTCAGATAGTCAACCCTGAGAACCAGATTGTGCAGCAGTTTATGCAGCGCTGGGAGCGGCTAGATGAAAGAGAATTCCCAGAAGCCCGAAACACTCCTCTGAAGGTACTTTGCTTGCAAGGCCTTTCACTGTGCATGCAGAATACAACAATCATCCCTTCTAAAGTGCTCTCTATCGGTTCTTCTCCTCCTCTCATCCTCTGTTTGCCGTTGTCATTCCCTCTTCCTCCCACCCCTTGCTTCCTCCTCTTTGCTTTGCATCCCTCCCGGCAATCGATATATTGATAGGCGGTGCAAGGCAAGGTTATATCGCAGTTTCAATTTACATCTAATTAAACAATGATCAAGAAAGAAATGGATTTTGAGTGGCATTTAATTAGATTTTGTCATGGTGCAGTGGTCAACAAACAAGTGGCTCAACCCTCATTGGTAGAAAGGTCAGGCGAAGTTGGAGGGGAAATGCGTGGGAGATAAAATTACGCATTAATACTCTCCAGCTCTGCACTGAAAGTTTTGAAAGAGGTCCTGACCGTCAGACATGTCTTGGCTTTTCTCTGTCTCATCAAGCTATATTTATATTATGCAAGGCATTAGAGCTCGAGCCCACACTGACCAGCCCTGGGGGGAAATTCTACACATAGTGGTTTTAAACAAATCTATTTTTACTCTCAGTATTAAGTAATTTTGTCCTAAATCACCTGAAAACACTTTACTGCTAAATCAGCGATATCTCTTTATCTTATCTCATCTTCTGCCTCTCACCATGTGTTCTCGTCTCACTGTGTGTTCTGCTGTTTTTTTTGGAATTTTATTTTCTAAAGTACACTTCAGCTCTGACCCATGATGCCATCCTGGTGATAGCAGAGGCCTTCAGGTACCTGCGGCGCCAACGTGTGGACGTCTCTCGCCGGGGCAGCGCCGGAGACTGTCTAGCCAATCCCGCTGTGCCTTGGAGCCAAGGCATCGACATTGAGAGAGCTCTCAAAACGGTAGGGTGGGGTGTGTGTGGAGTGGGGGGGCTGGAGTGGCAAACTGATAACTAAAGAAAAGGCTAGAAGAAGTGAAGCAGAGATAGCGAGCAAGAGTGTGATAAAGATGGAAAGTGACAGAGAGAAGGGAAGAGAGCGCAGAGCTGTTCTCCTCCCTCTGCCCCCAGATATCTCTGCGCGGAGCTCACTCAAATCCAGGCCCTCATTACCATAAAACTACATCTTTTATTAAAGCGTATCCAGTTCATCATTTGATTAACAGACTGTGCGCACTCCAGTAGCTTCATGGACACGAGCACCTTAATACCAGCTATATATGCAAAGTGATGGCTATTACACATTCCCCTCTGTCTGTCTCTCTCTGTCCCTCATGGCAGGTCCAAGTGCAGGGCATGACTGGCAACATCCAGTTTGACAACTATGGCCGCAGGACCAACTACACTATAGATGTTTATGAGATGAAAACAGGTGGGCCGAAGAAGGTAAGACAGAGCGGTGACCTCTATCGACTCTCATCCATCAACTGTCAAATCCAGACCTGATGAAAATGCTGGTCTTTATCAAAACACAGCGAACAGCTGGCACGCATCGAGGTTTGGTTCATTACTTGTCAAAATCATGGAATTCGGCCAATGTGTAATTTTAAATGATTTACTGATCTTCTGTGCTAAACTTTTTTGAGGGAAATGCATGTATGGGTGAAAGTAGAAAACATTTTCAAACAAGCCTCCATTTATTAAAGCACTGAGGGCCTTTGCAGTCATGTGGGACCAGCAGGGCTGACAGGACAGTGCAGAGTAATGTTGATTGCATGTCTCTGCCTCTGGTAGGTAGCAGCACTGATGAGCTATGCCAAGCATCACAAGCCCCGCAAGTCACACACGGCCTGCGATCAGATAGCTAAAGATGTCCTATCAAAAGAATGATACAAGACTATTTCTGTGCCGTGGGATAGCACAGATATTATTTGACAGTAATTACCATTCAAATAACCAATTACTAAAAAGGGGATCCAAGAATTCCTCTGGCTCCTCTTCAAAATGGTAATTCCCAGCGGTACACTCACTTTATAACCGGTACCATATGATGACCTCTGGTTCTATTTCATAACCTCACCAAGCGACAGCTGTGAATTTCTCGTTAGCTGAATAAGAGTGGGCTCAGTCTGATGTGACGTGTGATTATGCCGCCTGCCTCCTAGGACTCTAAAGCCCACACTTCAGTTAGCATCACACAGCCCTTACAGCCATCCCCGCACAGCCACTCAGAGATTGAAAGGAGCATGGAGAGGGGATGGAGGGAGAGTGGGAGAAAGGAGGTCACGGGGAGAGAGTGGGGGAGCGAGAGAAGATGAGACAAGCTGGGCAGCAGTTTGTCAGGACCTGGAGCCCCACTCACCCCAGTGACAGTTAGAGGATGAAGGTTCTTAGCTGTGACTGTCAGAAGTGATGTATGGGCTGATATCTGTCCCAGCTGCTCAGGGTGAGATCAGGACTTTGCCTCTGGAGCAGCACTCCATGACACAGCTCCCCACAGTCTCGTCCCCCAAGCAATACTGCTCAAATGTCACTGTCGGACAAAAGCTGGGAATACACATTTAGAGCTTTCTCATGTCTGGCAAGTGCAGTAACTACATCCGCAACTGTAACCACAGTTTGGAGCTGAGGGTTAAGACGTTTCCTGCTTTCTAGCGCCTCCACTTGGTGTTTAAAAACCCTACACTGTTGTACACCTGTCTGGCCCAGGCATTTAAAGATCTGAGGCAAAAAAAAGAAGAAAAAAAAGACGAAAATGCGGACCAGATGTGACGGAAAATCCTAGCCAGCAACAGTTAGACTATTGGCAGCAACATATGCAACATGTTTCATCATGAGCCAGAGCAGCCATTATTTCAGATGGGCAAACAAACACTTGACATTGGTTTGACTTAAGCATCTGTACAGCAGAATACAGAGTAACTGCAATTGCAGGACTGTGCTGAAGAAACTGTGGAGCCACTAGAATATTATGCTAAATTATTAAACGTGTATGCAGTTCACAGCTCTGACTATCAATTATTTACCATAAAACCTGGGAAGCTGAAGGTGGGAGGGATTGAAGTTGTCTGCCGTATGCTCATGCAGTTCAGTTCCTACACATTTGAACAGATGTAGATCATAAAAGCCAATAGTATGTTTTCATAATGTCTTTGATCATGACACTAACAGCATGTTCAATGTAGAAATATCAACTCTTTGTTTATTCCATGTTTAGATCACCGGGCCACTTCTGCCACTTTAGCATTCTGCTAATTCGCTGCTATTTTTGTTGAACTTTAGGGCAGAGGCAGTCGGCCTCTGGGAAATGCAGTGTTGTTTTAATGAGCTCTACATCATTGCAGTTCCCAGCAATACTTAAAAGTGCTGTATGCTCACTTACATATCATCTGTGGGTTGGAATGCATCACTAAACACTGTTTTCTCTTTGCAGATTGGGTACTGGAATGAATACGCGCGATTTGTAAATATTATGGACCCGCAGGTCTCCAACGACTCCTCAGTGGAAAACCGAACGATTGTGGTCACTACTATTATGGTACACTTTCCATGCAGTTTTAAATGTTTCACGTATTCTGCCACTCAAGGTCATAGTGTTGATTCCAATGAGTGATACATTCTGTCCTGGGCGGGTAGAACCACATCTTTTTTGTGTTGCTTTCCATCCACTCACTACATGTTGAAACAGTCGGTCCGATCACGGGGGAGTGTTTCAACTGTATCCGTGTGGGTGTCAAAGCATTTTGATTTTCCATACTTCAGTGGCCTGTCGTAGCAGTGACATCACAATAATGGTATAAATGATAATGGTTGACTCCCATCAATTACAAAAAAAAAAAAACATACAAACGCATACGTAAGTAGGCCTGTCTGTCCTCATCAAGTAAATGTTCAATGACACTTGGGATAGACTGGCCGAAGAATGACTAGAGGATGATTCTGCAATGGTTTCTCCAGCTGGGCAAAGCAAAATAAACAGTATTGGAGGAGGGATAAGAAGGTGTGGTATTTTTCCTTGTTATCACCTCTCCAATCTATTTTGTATTGCTCCTACATGTGTTCTGTGTTGAAGTATAACTTCCAGTCAGTGATTTAGGAAGGATCATTTTCTGGGCTTTTTTGCCAGACCAAAGTATGATAAACAAACAAAATATCTTAGATGTATTTATTTTCAACTGTATTTACTCAACTAACTGTTTTAGGCTTATTGGATAGCTTCCATTGCAAATGTATTTACTGACTGTGTAATGGCATTATAAGTACCTGGTGCAGTACCTCATTCTCTGCAAGCAAACATTTTAAAATGAAAAAAGAATAAGTGTGATAAGGATCTCTGGTATTTATGCACAGTTAGATTTCATTTGTATTCCAATGCATAAGCTGGCATCATAGCAAAAGGAAACATTTAACGTCTCCAGATGAGAAATACAGTCATGTGTTAACAGGAGGGAAACACTTGATGGCTGTAAGGTGAGGGGATACATTCAGCACAGAACAAACAAACCATTGCTCTCCTACTTGCACTCCAATTGTGTGTGGCTGTATTGACAATGCCTGCTCTCCTGAGCAGTCCTATTGTTTGATAATGATGATGTGCTCAGTAAGAGAACAGACAAGATGCACCAGCGTTTTGAAAAGGAGAGGAAACCTAGCACGCTCCTGCTCTCCTGATGTAATTATTTTATTTATGGAGGATTTTGTGCATTTTTCTTGATAGCAAATAACAGCTCTTTATTTTATTTTATTTTACTTATTTTTTGGGAATGAAACAACCTTTAACTGCGCATTGGTGCAATGTGCTTGAATATGTTGAGATACTATGGGCACTCTCTGATCCCTCTCCTGTCACTGGCATTTACTTATGAAACCCATTCCCATTCCCATTCCCATTCCCACCTGCCTCTGAGCTGACCCACACCTTGCCTACCGATGACTCCCAACCCTTTTAAATCTCATTTAGGCCTCCTGTCTCCTCCTACAGAAATGGAAAAAAAATGTTCTTCCTTGCCTTAACCCTCCTTTATTATGCCACAGAGTTGCACCCTTAGGCTTAGAATGGGTTGGGTGCATTGGGCTTGGTGTCTGCTGGCTTGTGACCACATGATCACGCTGCTGTTATCGTTGTATATTTGTGCATTCGTGGGGCATCATCTGTGAATGCATGACTGCATGGATGTGGATTTAGCAGCTTATAATATTTGAATCTGTGTGCGTGTGTGTGTGTGTGTGTGTGTGTGTGTATGTGTGTGTGTGTAGGTGTAGGTGTGCGTGTGTGAGTGCACGGGCACATATGAGTGCATGTATGCATATTTCTGTATAACTGAATGTGTGCTAGGGCATGGGAGTGAATAAACCAGCGTGTGTTTGAATCAACAGGAAGCTCCTTATGTGATGTACAAGAAAAATTATATGCATCTGGATGGGAATGACAGATATGAAGGCTACTGCGTCGATTTAGCATCTGAGATTGCCAAACATGTTGGAATTAAGTACAAACTGTCTATAGTAATGGATGGGAAGTACGGAGCCCGAGACCCAGAGACCAAGACGTGGAACGGGATGGTGGGTGAACTGGTCTATGGGGTGAGTACTGGGAGCCTTGAATTCGCTGATTACATGACAGTTTGCAAGGAACTTCAACATGAGAGGAGATCTCATTTTTCTGTCTTAAGGTTATCACCAACCCGTTGTGAACTCATCAGCTCTTGCACATGTTCAAAGTCTAATGCTGTCTCAGGAAGCTCAGCTGTGAGTGAATTTGTCATATGCAGCCTCAAGCATTGGGGAGTTGGTGATCATCTTGAGACGGAGAAAATGAAATCATTTCTCAGTGCTGTTCATTGCAATTAATCCTTCTTGCTTAGCCTAGAAAGCTCTCTCTCTCTCTCTCTCTCTCTCTCTCTTACAGTCGAAACGGAGGTAGGTACATGAAAACAATGAGTCCATGTGGCAAACACACTGTAATCACTTTGATGAATGAAAGATTGTATCCCTTTGAAGTGATTGTGTAATTATGTCCAATGTTTGATGTGTATGATGAATATTGCCACATTGTAAATTCACAGCTGAGAAAATCTGCTTTCGAATCAACAGCTAAATGGTGGTTTGCGGTTTGAAACAACAAGATCCATATGTGTTGTGCCCCATAAAGGTTGAACCTCTCACATTAGGGAAGGGTCATGCCGTGTTTTACATCTGACAGAGCGCTCAGGCCCTCGCAGCACGTCAAGCATTCCAAATCCCCCTCCCCCCACCCCCATCCCTTTCTTGCCTTTCTCCGAGGCCACAATAGTTGAACCGGGGCCAAATACAAAATGCATGAGGGTTAGGCTTCCTCATCTGTTCAATTTCCCAACTATCAGCCTGAGAGATTGCTTGGTTTGATGTGCTATCGCCACCAAATTATCTTTCAAATGGGAAAAGTCCACTCCCTGCAGATGGAACGTGGAAAAAAATATCCCAATCACATCGCTGTCAAGTCTTTCCAGGCCTGTAATTTTACAGCAGGTGGGCCGAGACTAATAGTTTTGTACATTTTGACCTTTTGACCGGTAAATTAATTTGATTTTAGTTGTCTTTTAAAGGTTAGGCCTGAGGCTGCTCTTTATTGCTTTGTTTCCCTCACCATTGATTGAGTGCTGCTTACGCCTGCACGGGGATTAAATGGTTATAGCCCTTCACAGTGTTGTGTTGACAGGGTAAAGAAAACAGTCATGTTTATTGGGTCTATTTGTGTTGCTCCTAGTTTGACCTTGTAAGAAACATTTTCGCGCTGCTTCAATCCAATGTTTTCTCAATTTTGACATAAAAAAAGACAATACGGCATGATACAAAGAACTGCCCTTCAAGGAGTTGCTCCGTTGAAGGGGAGCAGTTATTTAATTAATCACACACACACTAGCTGCAGTAACACTGTCTAACGTGATTAATTATTTTCTTCTGCTTTTACAAAGAAACCCATTGTGATTTCTAAAAAGGCAGCACCACCTCCATGGATGTGTTTTGATAACATAATGTGATTGAAGCAGCAGAGCAAAGGCGTTAGATAAAGAGAAACAGCTTGGAAAATTTAAAAAAATAAAACTAATGCCAGAATAAGCTGTGTTTGGGAAATCCAGTCTTCTGAATGACATGTGGCTTGCTGATTTTGTTTGTGTACAGCAACATCTTTACTGTACATTCTGCTGTTTAAATTGAAGCCATTTATTTACAAAGGTTACACTTGTTATGACGAGGTCAGACATCTCACTACTGTCTTTGAAAATGTAATTTTAATGTAAGCAGAAGAGTTATTGAAACAGCCAGAGTCTCGTAACAAGGTGTAGCATAAAACTGCTTGTTTTACAGAAATGTAGAATTGAAAAGTTTTCCCCCTTGGGTCCTGATTAAGGAAGCATTTGGTCAAACATGACTCAAACACCCATCTGCCTGGATTTTTTCCAAGCTGTCTCTCTGAAAGTCTTGCAGTGGCCTATGAGCTTTTTCTCCCTTTTACCTCCCAATGTGGCAACATTTCAGTAAAAATGTCTGATTAATTTTGCAGTTTGAATCTAAGATGTATTAGCTAACATCCCAGGTCACACTGCGCAAATGCAAATGTCACACTGCTTTTCCTCTGTGTTTTTTTTCAGCCTGCCTTCAAGTGTCAACGCTGGTGGCTTATTTCTTCTAATCATGTGTAAAATGTGTGATAACAACATTGTTTTATTCTCCCTCTCCAGCTCCAGTCTTTCACATATACATGATACATGAAATGACCCATTTCTTTATGCAGGTCATGACTAATGCTTGCTGTGCATGTCCCTGTTTCCAGAGAGCAGATATAGCTGTTGCACCTCTCACCATTACTCTGGTTCGAGAGGAGGTGATAGACTTTTCCAAGCCCTTTATGAGCTTGGGCATCTCCATTATGATAAAGAAGCCGCAAAAGTCCAAGCCCGGCGTATTCTCCTTCCTGGACCCGTTGGCCTATGAGATCTGGATGTGTATAGTGTTTGCCTATATTGGGGTGAGCGTGGTCCTGTTCCTGGTCAGTCGGTTCAGTCCTTATGAGTGGAACCTCGAGGAACAGGACGAGACCAAAGACCCTCAGACACCCCCGGATCCTCCCAATGACTTTGGCATCTTCAACTCCCTCTGGTTCTCACTGGGCGCCTTTATGCAGCAGGGCTGTGACATCTCCCCCAGGTGGGTTAGCTCCTATAGACACCAGGAGTGGACAGCAGAGGACAGTAGATATAAATACTGCTATGGAAATGTTTTCAAAAGCAAGTGATGAGATGTGTTCTTGATAAGTACACAGAGTCACTAAAGCATCATTATTTTCTGTCCTCTTGGTTCAGGTGTTCATTATTTGAAGCTAAACTCATTTCACATTTATTGCAGCTATCATAAGTGTAATTAAGTTTGTCAGTTTGTATGCTGCAACTATCATCACCAAAATGGTTTCATCAATACTTTCTGCAGGCTATGAAATGAGCTTTTGACCCGGATTGTTTCACAGCCAATTAAAGACTTTGATTAGAGAACAGAAAAAAGTGTACCACTTTCCTTGGAAATGTGCTGTTTTAGAGTTCTGACACAGTATCATGTTGATTTACAAGGAAATTCTGATGACCGATGCAATTAGATATATTAAACACAACTGGTAGATCTTAGCAGGCTGATCAGCACCACATGCCACTATGTAATTACATTCTGTGTTTCCTTGTCATCGACCTCCCTCTTACAGATCTCTGTCGGGCCGTATTGTCGGTGGTGTGTGGTGGTTCTTCACCCTCATCATCATCTCCTCCTACACAGCCAACCTGGCTGCCTTCTTGACAGTGGAGAGGATGGTCTCTCCTATAGAAAGTGCCGAAGATCTGGCCAAACAGACAGAGATAGCATATGGCACTCTGGACTCAGGCTCCACAAAGGAGTTTTTTAGGGTGAGTAGTATCAGAAAATGCTTTGCGTTCACACACACACAGCTTCTTACTAATCCAGTGGCTCTCTTGCTTTGAGCTAAATGCCAAAACATGCAAAGGCCTAAATATTTTACACCATAAAAACTACTTTGTGTAATGCCCTTGATAAACTCTTCCTAGCAGCTTTTCTATTTTGTACTTTTAGTACAGCACTCTTGACCCACACAAGATTGCTCCAAATGAGGCATGTTGACAGAGAGGCAGTTCTTGAACTCTTATGACATGAACGTGAAATTTATGCGGCTGTACTGCAGTGTGCAACCTTGAGGCACTGGGGCTGTCAGCAGAAAGTGTGATAACAACGTGGAAGACTCAGAGGTGATAAAAACAGGAGGCTAATCAAAGCAGCCACATCAGGCTCAAACTCAGAAGGGTCAGCTCATGAAATATAATTAGCTTGCCGGCCATTCCTGGCAAATTGGACCTGATGAAGAAGAGCCCTGTAGGTCAAAGAGAGCAGTCTGTAAGACGGTTCAGATGGAATAAGCAATATGTCTGTCGGCATGGGGGACTAGCCTGGCAATTAAGTCATAAATTAACTAAAATCTGAAGCGAAAGTATATTAGACCCTGAACGGCTACCACATGCTCACTATGCAGGAGTTAAACAGCACTGCATGTCTTTAAGGCTATCAACCTTCTGCTGTGAAACTCATAGATGTCTTAGCTTGTGGCGTGGCTACATCACCAGTCCGTTCCTCTGCATTTGCAGAGCAATAAGTTGGAAAAGAATTAATGAAACAGCACTCTGCCTGTGATGACGAAAAGGCAATATGACAGTCTTTTATCTTACGCTCCCTCATTACTCATCAGCAGGATAGAAACAATTCATATGCTTCACAGCTGCAGCCTGTTGGCAGAAAGAACAATTCATTTGTATTACCCCTGGGTTGAATTGCTCAGAACAACAAAATGCAAAATCAAATCCATGTTTTTTCAGACAGAGAATGACAAGATAAAGTCGGCAGTTTGATATTTTAAAGAGTTTTGTTTCAGGGCTGTACGCTCTTAGGAGCTGGTTGTAAAAGGCTGTATGCAGTGATATCCTGGAATAAATGGCACATGATACATGACAGCAGCACTTTATTCTCTCCATACAACACCTCACAAAGCTTGTCATCACTTTTCCTTTCATCGTAGATGCTGTTCGGCTGTATATACAGTATACAGTATGTCTTTGTGTCACAGACATGATGGATGCCAATTACAGATCAGGTTTTCAGCCTGTCAATGGAGACACCACAGGTCTGCTGGTGGAACAATCAGAGAGGTGGCCGGGGAGGCGCAGTTTTTCTTGTATGCTGTGTCCTCAAACAAGAAATGACATGTGTGAACCGCTATTCCAAGGGACTTTTAATTAAAGCTGTAGAGGGCTGACAAGGGGGAAAAAAACACACTAAAATGCTATTTCTGATTTGTTTTTCAGGAAATACATTCGGGCTTAATTAGACCCATACGGCATCAGCCAGCTGGAAATTTTAAATCAAGTCCAATGTTTCAAACAAGACATATGTCATCGTCTCTGCCACCCTCTGCCTTAAATTTTTGATGATTTCACCTGGTTATTTTACAAAGTTGCCTGACAAGTCGAACTAACTCAGTAATAATGTGCATTTGTAAAATGCTTTTTTCTGCTCCCTTCCTAAGCAGAAAGCAAAAAATAAGACACGGTAACATGAATGTGGGATAATTAGCTAAGAATCCCTCTAATTCTCATTTTGATGGTTTCCATGTTTTCAAATCAGTCAAACTGTCTCATCATCTTCTGCGGTTTAAGATATTCCTCCAAGGCTGTTTTGTTGAGCTCCTGAAAAATGGACAGTTTGGACATATGGCTCATTGCCTGACAGTGACAGTATTCACATCACCGTGTGTGTCTTCATTTGGTGGTGGGAATGAGGGAGAGGCTATAGAGGAATTTTCAAAGAGAGAGGTGTTAGAGTAGATCCCCCTTAGAAAGTCCTGATTCTGCCGCTCACAGCCAACTAGGACAGCTGGCCTGGGAGCCCATCGACGTGCCCAGTGGAAGCCCGAATGCCCCCAGGCGCTTGGCACTGCAGATCTACCCGCACTTGGCTCTTCTTCCCCAGACTGCTCTGCTTGTTTGGGCAGCCTCTACTCCTCTGTCTCCAGCCTGTCTGTTGCTTTACCTTGAGACAATGGGGGATAGCTGCGAGCTTTGTGTTGCTCGTCCTCAAAATAGCAGCTGTCATGTGCCACTGCACCACCATGACTTGTTTCATGACATTGATTCCTGTCATGGCTCTTTTTTATACAGTCAGTTGAATGTTTGTGTTTTGGATGATTATAAAATGATGGGTTGTACAGACAAGGCCATCCTCAAAAGGCTTGGCTCGGTTACATTTTTAAAATGTACATTGAAGGAGAAGCTGGATGGTAATAATGACTGAGATGATAAAATAGGCTGATGTGGCTGTTTAATTACGTGTAAAGACCCGGGTGAGACCATCAAAGACGACCACACTGCTGTCCCATCATGCACCTCATTAAACAGCGTAACAATGAAAGAATGATAATTGCGCAGAGAAATGAGACCACAGCATTGTTTTCCATTCCCCACAAAAGATTATACATTACCCAAAGCCCCAGTAGCAAACATCATGCATCTTACTGATCTGCAGGTGTAGTGGAGATGGGAACAACAGCTTGAGTGCAGTCACCAATGCATTATACTAAGCATGAAAATCAATTTCACGTCTCAGCTATTGTGCCACAGACACTATAGCTTCTTCATGGTCCAACACAATGTTTAATAAGTAGCTTTTTTATACAGAGCAGACCTGCATTAGGCCAGGGTTGCATGAAGAGGAGCTCGCAAGGAGATTTATACAAGAAATCCTTAGGTTGCCCTGCAGTCATATGCAGCACACTGTGACACAATTCCCCAAGCTCTTGTCACTACGTGGTTCAGTACAGCGCTGAGTGAAGGGGAGGCTCCTATAAAGATTAGAGCCTGTTTGCATAAAAGAGAAAGCTGACAAAAGTGATGATAGACTAGTGCGAGATAGGCGTAACCTCTGAGGGAGTGTGCTGTCCTCAGAGGGCCTTGTCGAACTTTAGATGAGCAGCCACAGCAGGCGCGAGAGGAGCTATTGGAGTCCAGCAACAAGCATCAAAGACGAGCCATTGGTATTCAGGGCGCAGCATGTGGCACTTCAATGACAAAGTACACCCCCAGAGCCTCAACTTTCATTTCTGCATACTTGAGATACAGATAGTCCTGGCATACAGGATATTGGGGGAAAGTGGTGATGTCCACAAACAAAATGGAAGGGAAGTAAAGTAGAAGGAAAATGTAGTGGTGGATGTTTGGAGATGGCATTTAGATGCACAAGCAGTGAAGCGTATGTGGGAGAGGCCATAATGAAAGCAGTCTGCAACACCAAAGGAAGAATAAAAAACAGGCTGCAGTTCGAAGGGCAGTGGACAGAGGTCTGGAAATGTTGCATAACTCAGAATTAATACAGATTAAGTGGTTATTTAGAATGGAGAGTGCAATTTCTTTGACTTTGAGCTTTAATCACTTGTCCTTTCTCTGACATTTTAATGATATTGTTGGAGACTTCTAGAACACAAAATCTCCAATCTTGAGATTTACTAATGATTTTTGGAAATACCTTAAAGCAAATCTTTTGTCTTTCTTTCTGTCCATTTCACTGCATCACTGAAGCCTTTAAAGGTTTAAATTTTTCTTGCCAATATGCAGTTCATCTCTAGACTGCAAAGAGACAGCCTACCTACAGGGTAGCCTGTTTCAGTTTAAGAGAGCAATACTTTTATCTTGTAAGGCAGTGGAAGGCAAAGAGTGGCCTCTGGGTCAAATGTGGCCCTCCACTAAAAATATTTGGGTTGAAAATAAAGGTATTGCATTAAAGCTTTAGCATTATTTTTTAAACTGTACTGTAGAAAACAATGTAAATTCAAAGTTAATGTAAATCTCAATAGACATAACCTTGTAACAAATATACATACATTATAAATAATATAATCCTTCTTTTACTAAATGTACCTTGTAAATTTAAATACCATTTTAATTGCACAGCTTTAGCATATTTCTAACAATAGTACTTTAATTTATGATAACTGAAGCAGGTTAATGTTTATTATATTTTGTTATTATTATTAAAATGTGGATAACCATAGCAAGAAAATCTCCACTCTTGTAGTCAACACAGAAAAAGGATTAGCTTACAAGTCATTAATTAGCACTGAAGTATTAGTGGGTAGGTTTTAATGCCTTCAGACATAATCCAAAAACATTATATAGATACATTTTATTCTCATACTGTCATTTTTACTTGCTCCATGCAGCTGTTTACATGAAAAAATGAAACTGCTAGCTACCTGCCTAGCACCAAATGGCAGACAGACAAAATTAGCTGCTAGCTGATGAACATAGTAACGCATTTAGCAGCTGTGTAAATAGTCAAGATCATCATATAAACTTAAATGTTGATAATAGATCAGTGTTGTGTTTATAGCTTGTTTCTGCTGCCCCCAAGTACCCCAAAAATCAGTTTTTGCAACTTTAAGAGAAAAAAAATATTATAGGCTTGAGTCTCCACCACCTCTATAAAACTATGTCAGCCCCTCATTGAAAAACAAATAACTGGTCAATGCTTGTACCTAATTGCCGACCCCTGCTCAAATGAAAACCTCATTTGTATGTGCATGCATTAGTGCGCCTGAGTGCTTGTGCTTTCATATCTGCATGTGATTTGGTGACTTCTCCCCAGAAGAATAATAAGCACACACCAGTTTTCCTCTGACTTCACTCTAATGTCATCTTGCTAAAGGCAAGTCCTGCTCTCTTTATTCCTCTTAGGTCACCAGCCTGGAATGACAGACCTGAGTTTTCTTTTATGATTATTACAAGACAGCAGGAAAGTCACTGCTTCTTGACAGATTTTCAGGAGCAACATCTACACAGATCATGTAATAGTGGCGCTTCGGTAGGAGGGTTGGCTGAGATAGAGTATATACAGTAGGTACTTCATTATGAACAGAGCAACATTATGATTGCTTTAATATAATTTGAAGACATTTAAAGGAAGAGGGTTATGCCGTTTGCAAGTTACCCAACATAGAATCTTGTTTCTTTTTGCTTTGCAGGATAGTTTTCAAATGTAGCCACTCCCTTCTAATTGCCTAGAAGCTCATTTAGAATATAGCACTATGTTCTCAAAGGGCCATTATATGGTGTGAAGGAGAGCCACATGTGTAGAGCTGTATTTATGGCAGTATATGATTGCTCAACAAATTGTCTGCTCATTGATGATGGACTTTTGAAGTCATTATTCCCTAATTGAATTTTAAATGACCACCATAGACTGGAATGTGAATGATTACATTTTAAAGGAGATGAGAGTATAGGCTTTCAATGCATTATGGTGTGTTTGCGTGTGTGTACTGCATGTGTGTGTCTGCATATTTGTGTGCCAGCAGTCAATAATCAAATATCTCTCTTTCGCTGCTGGACTTTCTCACAGTATCTGGTTTGTTTTTCTCTCTCTATTAGAATCTGCCTTAAGCATCTCACTGGTGACTTTAGTTGCAGTGGGATCGGCCTATTTAGGTTTTGGTCGCACTCTGTCTCCGCTCTGATATTGATGAATTGACTTCATAAAGCACTGAGGCAGCACACTCTGTCGTCAGTAATCAATGCCCAGATCCATTCTTTTCTTTTCATTTGAGGAGGCGTCTGGAGCTTCCCCACTGCCGAGCAGATGAGTTTCCAAACTAGTGTCCTTTCCATGATGTCTGACACATGCAAATTGAACCCATTTACGAAGATTGTCAACAAAAACACAACATCTGACTCTGACTACCCACCCAGCTATTGTATTTGCATTAAAATTGAAGGCACTTCAAGGCTTTTTCATCTGAGCAGAGAACATTCATCATGCAGACTTTTTTTAATTTGTGTTGTGTTGCTGTCTCATCTCATCCTCACCCTTGGCCTGATGCTCTATGACAGATGCCTGAAACAAATTCTATATGATTACATAAAGCCAGTAAAGCACTTTCATTAGGTCAAGGTTAATGCTGTTGTTTATAGAAATGCATTTGATATGGATATGTATAGAGAGCTTTTACCCGTTTAGGACAGCGATGAGTCTGTGTACTGCTCAGTATGTTTGGACATGCAAAGACACAGACCTCAGTGTCCATGTGCAGTTAATTAACTAAATTTATCTTCAACTTTCAGTAAAGAGCTTTACAATACATGATCTTTACTTTTTTTCTAGATTTCCTAGTAGTCTGTATGACATGTTAACCAGCACTATAGCTAACAGTTGTTTACATTATCAATTAACTTGTGCATTTTTTTCAATTAAGTGCATTTAGTCTATAAAATGTCAGAACATGGACAAAATGACCATCTCAATTTTCAGCTGGCTTCTTAAAGTTGCTTGTTTTGTCCAACAAATAGGCAACAAACAAAAATCTAAAGAGTAAAAATCCAGAGAAAACATCTCCGAAGTAGGAGGCAGCAAATGTGTGGCATTTCTGGCTAGCTAGCTAAAAAGTGCTGTAGCTAAATTGTGTTCATTTTGGGCATTATTTATTATGAATACCTGCATAAGTGGTATATTAAGATGGTGAAAATGGTAAATTGTAGCTGCACAACATCACCATGTGAGCATTGTCTTTTTAAAACATCTTAGCATGCTGTTAGCGTTTAGCTCCAAGCAGTGCCTCACAGAGCTGCTACTGTGGCTGTAGACTCATGGCTGTAGTCTTGTTGCTTGGCAAATGACTCATTATCTAACTATAAATGTAGTTGCTATTTTTTTATGCCAATCAGGTAACTGATAGCTAATGAATTAATTGATGATAATGATGAATAATCATTTAAGACTTTACTTTTGCTAAACTGAAGACTGAAAAACAGACATGACATGGTGCATCAACAGCTTGTCCATATTCTACACACAAACCCTTTGGTTGACAGTAGATCTTTTGATTCAGCCAGTTCTTGAAAATCATCCAAGCCCTTCGTCTTTCTCTGGCCTTTAATGAAAGAAAGTATACTTTTTATGTGGGATCCAGTCTGCAGTACACACAGAGCCACTCGGGAACTGGCTCATCACTGCTTGGACCAGGATCTGTTCAAAGTGTGAAATGCCTATGCCAAAATAAATCCAGCGGCATTGAATAATTAAATTGATGCTTATTATAGATAGCGCTCAACACCCACAGATTTTACAGGCTCGCTAAGCCTGACCCTCAGGCGCTGGGAGAATGCTCATCTGTGTCACTTTGTGATGGGTCGCCTTGTGCCTGTGTAACCCTCTTTCTTGTGCACTTCTCTTGCTTCATATGTGCATTACTTCTGAGTCAGAGTCACAGTCGCGATGTTATATTAAGGACAGTGTTGTTGAAATTAATGACTGTAATAACTTCTACAAGTTAAATTAAGGCCAGAGAGATTGGTCCAAAACTTTTGCAAGTTTCCATATAAATTATGAATAAATAAATACAAATTACCCACAGTTCACCATTACAAAAGTTAAATCCATGAATGCTGGTATTTTTACTAAAACCCAGTTTGCATGACATTTGTACTGTCCAGGTAGTGTCTGATCCTCATTCACACTTGAGTTGAATTTGAGCCTCAAGCCGCTGCATTATATTTGAAGAGTACATTTTGCTGATGAAGAGAAATGGATTTTGTAAATTCTTGTACTTCATGATCTTGTAAAAGTCCACCAGCTACATTTTCTGGAAGTATTTAAAGATATCACACTGCCGCTTTCCGAGATGTCTATAAATACTTCATGATGCCAGTTTAAATTAAGTGATCATTAAGCACAAAAATCCTACAAAATCCACTAATGTATATGACTTTTTGGGTGTCTAACTACTTTTCTTCTCCTTTTTTTTCTCTGCACAGCGGTCCAAAATAGCAGTATATGAGAAAATGTGGTCATACATGAAGTCCGCTGAACCCTCAGTGTTTGTTAAGACCACACCCGATGGCGTAGCCCGGGTACGAAAGTCAAAAGGCAAGTTCGCCTTCCTCCTTGAGTCCACCATGAACGAGTACATCGAGCAGCGGAAGCCATGCGACACCATGAAAGTGGGCGGGAACCTCGACTCGAAGGGATACGGTGTGGCGACGCCCAAAGGCTCAGCATTAAGGTGGGTGGGATAATATAACAATATTCTCCATGTTGTTATAGTATTCCACCTACCCTGATGTCCCCCTGTTGTCATTTTCTTCTCTTCCTCTTCTTGTTTTTTTTATGGACACAGAGGTAACGGTAGTATGCCTTTCAATGCACTTGGATACAAAGGTTAAATAATGATAATCAATGTTTTTTTCTGTTTTATATATATATGATGATAGTTGCACATTTCTAGTAGAGGAATCAAATCCAGATAACAAGGCTAAAGCTAACAATCATTTCATATTTATGTCTCTCTTACTGTTGCTTTTCTCTCTCCTTCGATCTCTCCTTCTGTCCCGTGTGCTGTCCTACCTGACTGTTGTGTTGTCACTTTTAATTTAACAGTTCAATGGTTTTTCAATTTAGCCTTTAAAAGCTGCGCTGTCACTTGTGACGAATGTTAATTGCATGATGTTTGTTGTTGTTACTTTTCTTCTCAATGACAAGTGTCCCCATCCCGCACACTTCAGTTTCTAAACTACGTAACCCTTCATGCCACCTTTTCCAAGATTTAACACTGTCTTTACCTTATATGAGCCTTTCTTATCTATCCATATTCCTTAAATTCTTAAACAATTTGTCCTTTCGTAGACCATTCTGATTAACAGATAGTCTGTGCTTAAGCCCCTGCTTTGACAGTGGTAGTCTCACTACCATTACCTATCATTATGATGCTTAGTACAATCATTACTTTGCATTAGATTTCTCACGGACCTGTGCATTTTCTTACAAGTTATGTTTTATCGTTTCAAGAAATGCTGTTAACCTGGCAGTTTTAAAACTGAATGAGCAAGGCCTCTTGGACAAATTGAAAAACAAATGGTGGTACGACAAGGGAGAGTGCGGCAGCGGGGGAGGTGACTCCAAGGTCAGCCTCGATGTCACCACAATCGGGTACCATAGTGCAGAGTAATCGGCAAGGCTGTTAAAACAACCCAACCATAACCAAACCAACTGTCCGCCCCAACCAACCTGCTGCTGCCCCACGGCAGATTACCAAATTAACTTCCAGTCTGACAAGACAGCTCAGATCAAACTAAGGAGCCTTTGCTTAACCAACAGAAAAACAATATTTGTGGTTTTTGACTGTGATGTTCATAGACATAGCAAAGTCTAAGAGTTTTTGTCGCCTTAGACAAACTTTGAAGTTGGAAATTCTCAGAAAAGGGCCACTATTAGGTGAATGTGGCTGCCCTGCAGTTGTGAAAGGTTGAGCTCTATTTATTCACCCTTACACGTGTGTAGGGCAGATCATCCAGTCTCAGATATTAGGATGTTGTCTAGTTCGCTTTCACAGTTTGAGTAAAACCAGTTGATGAATTCATGCGCATTGTTATTGAAGTTTGCCAGTAATCTTAAATTGAAAAGTTTGTAACATCCAGCCTTCCCTCCGGAAGGTGAAGTTTGCTAACAATCTAAAATACATGGCTTTGTAGTACTTCGCCGCACAGCTGCTTCACATCCATGACACTGGCCGAGAGCAAAAAAAAACCTCAAAATGGCTGCTCAGTTGAGGCCGACAGGAAAGCAAGGGGAACAGCGGCGTCTTGAGGGGACTAAGCATTGCAGGCAAACGTGAGAATTCTAATTAATTCCTACCCAAACTCTTTAATAACCCAGCCGTGACCCTTTTGACGATCAGATCTCTCACTCTTCTTCTGTGGTCAAATTATGAATAATTTTTCCATTATGGAAGCTAATGGTGCAAAGTGTGAAACCCCACTCAACAATGACAACTTAGTGTAATGCCACTTAGATTATGTGCCATGAAGCTATTTTCTCTAGATGACATATATGGCTCTAGCATTTTATTCATTACAGTGCAGGTCAGTTTAATGACAGATGATGCTGTCAGCACGCATGTGATTATATAGTTCAGTAAATTGGCTGTATTACGGACAAACTGCATGGTCTGCAGATTGTGTCATTACTCTCTTAATGTCATTTGTCATGGATTGACCACAATGAACATTTAAGCTGCAGTGAGACTTGTTTTAAACAGCATCACCACAAGACTCTGCATGAATCACATATCCAACAATGTCTTACTAGATGCCAACAGTTATTTTTTGAAAAGGGTTCAAGTCACCCTTTTTCGATGTTTGCATTGCTAACATTGCTATGTTCTGTTGTCACCGAGCTCAGGAGGCCTCCCTGTGCTACTGGGAGCTCATGCTCAGGAGCTATTTGAAAGAACCTGTCTCTTGTGCTGTCATCGATCTTTTATCACGCACAGGTATGTACTGTCTCTCTGTTTCCTGGGTTGTTTTGGCTCCCCAGGACTCAGTGGAAAGGCCCGCTTAGGTGGAATAATGCTGCCTGGAGCTCTCTGTTCCAAGCAGCGCATCGCTCGGTGCTGTCCCGCTCACAGTTTCGTGTTCCAAAAGACATCAGGAGTTGCACATAATCATGCACACCCACTCACACACAGTTAACACTGCTCTCTGCTGCCCCCAGGCACAACACAGTGCAGCCTTGATTGAGTTTCAGACATAGAGCATGTTACAGGGTAATTGCATTGTTAATCAATGTCTCTCCCAGCCAAGACAATGGTCTGGTCTTCACAGTCCGTTTCTCCAGATTGGCTATGAGGGATATACAGTGGTTTAATCTTCTCTCAGTGCATTATGCATTGCAGGGATCCCCTTGGGGGACATTTTTCCCAGGGAGTAGTCAGGCCACTCATTTATCAATGCACTATTTGTCTTTGCTTCAGATTTGCTTTTTTACTTTCACACATAGAGATTGACCAGAGCCACAAACAAGCCACTGTTACATTATGACTGCAAAATGTGATCTTTATCCAGCCTTTACAATTGTTTTTTTTTTCCTGAAGTAATTTAGCACAACACAATACGATGATAATTTATATTTACATTAAGTATTCTGGTGTCATGATATAACTCCCAGAGATATCAAGCGGCAAGAAACAGCTGTGTCAGACATTACATTATGCAGCTGCAGGCAAATATGAGAGGAATTATTCCACTGATACTTTTGAGCTTAGTCCTGCAGCTCTGTGCAGTTTTGTTAGGACACACTTCATCTGACACTAATCTGGCATAATTGGAAGATAAGGTTTTCTTAGCGATATGTCGGAATAGAACACGCAAGAATTAATTAAGCTTTCACTTTTGGGCATAGTTGCTTGGATATGAAATTGGTTGTAATACCTCCAGAATTGATTGTTGTAATGCTGGTGACAATAATATTAGCCATCGCAAGATTAAGCAGATATTGTGAAAATGGAAAGGCTGTGTCTATCGCTTAGATTTTTCTGTTTGTTAAGACAGAGTTCTTGTTGGACTGAACTTGATGAAAAACATGCTGTTCAAAAAGCCCCTGTGATCCGTTACCTTCCCCCAAACAAATGTACCCCAATGCTTTTTAATAACCACAGACTTGCAGATTGTGCTCTCAGTACCTGCTCGTCGCCCTGTTAACAGCGCCTGCCGATTACTCAAAGCGATATGGGTAGGTCCTGGCTTTAGACTAGGGGTTATAAAGGTAATAGGTAGAATGCCTGCTATCTGTGATGTTGATATAGCCAGGTGCCCTGCTTTATCGCTTTGTAAAGTATGTAGTAGTTTAAAAGTTGAATAACATAAAATAACATAATATAATGTTATTTATGTTATTTCCCACGTGAAGAACTCCTGTAAACCTTGCAGTATTGAAACTCAGTGAACAAGGCATCTTAGACAAGCTGAAAAACAAATGGTGGTACGATAAGGGTGAATGTGGAACCAAGGACTCTGGAAGTAAGGTCAGTCGCTGCAGGTCTTTTGTACTGATTCCAAATTGCATTTTGACGTATTGTTCATATGCAAGACAAGACTTCTCTAACATCTATAGTATACATTTTGTTCATTTGCTACACATAATTTTCTATTTTTAGTCTCTGCCACAAAACTGTAACACAGTTTATATGTGGCTTCAACACAAGGCACTGCTTCCCCAAGTCATTTTTGTCTTTTATGCCATAGAAATGAGACACTTTTTGATGCAATTTAAAATGTAGAGACTCTCTTTTTTTGTGAAAACTGTAATGATAACACTGTGGGGAAATTGCCTTTCAGATACACCTTTTGAATTGAATCACAGCAGTTAACAGTTGTTGATAAATGCTACTTTTGCTCATTTTCACTCTTGACATTCATGATACTTTGACCATTATGCTGCTGTTTCTATTTACCAAACTGTTAATGAAAATTTGATTTATTTGTGTTGTTACTAGTTTGCATCGAGATGTGTCTATTAGATTCTTTGGCCTCCTGTGGTGTGATGAACAAGCAAAGCCTCTTATTGTAATGAGTTACTCAAATTCAACTTCTCTAAGCGGCGAGAGCGCCGTAGGGTGTCCTCTAAATCTTGTGGCTGCTCGGAGTTGAGGTTAGAGGCTCTGTTTGCACATTACAAGAAGTTGCGGAATGTAATAAACCCACTATTTAACCCTCTGAGATACCGTCAAAGCCTCAGATTACACGTTAGGGTTGCTAGATAGCTTTATGATATCGCCATACTCATAGGGTTAAACTGCAAATAGTAAAACTCTAATGAACAAATTTTTAATGAATATGTTTGGTAGGTAAGCAGCAGCAAAATGGTTTTGATCCTTAGTGATTTTTTTTTTTTTAACTTTAATGGAGCTTTCATTCATCTACTATGAATTTGACTGTACTGTATGACAATGTTGCCATGAGAGTTATACGTACAAGTCGCTAAGAGGATTAAATAAAGATAGGGATTTTCAGAGCTATCGACCTATGCGATACTGACCAGCTTCCTAACATGGTCAAGAGCAGAAGCCATTTTACATAGATGTAGTGTAGGGAAGGGAGAGCTCTACATTCACCAGCAGACAGACCATTAAGAGTTGGCTTCTTTCTCCTTAGTGGAGAATGGTTTGACTATGGCAGTCTGAAGTTCCTTACAACTTTGTGACAACTGTAGGGAAATCAGTTCAGTTTGAAATTCTAGCCTTATTGCCTCATTACATCTTAAATTTTTTGGTTGCTTGTAGCAGTTAGTATTCATACTCTGCCAAATGTAGCAACAGTGAGATAGATAGTATGATGATTTACTAAAGCAGTTTTAAGTCAAGACAGTGTGAGGCTCAGTATGAAGAATGCAGGCTGCGTTTTATTCTGCTGCCCTTGCTCCACTGCAAAACTCTTAACGTTGTTATTCACTTTCCCCCAGGACAAGACAAGTGCTCTCAGCCTAAGCAATGTGGCTGGTGTCTTCTATATTCTGGTTGGAGGGCTGGGGCTGGCCATGATGGTGGCTCTGATAGAGTTCTGTTATAAATCACGGCAAGAAACCAAACGGCTGAAATTGGCCAAGAATGCCCAGAATTTTAAGCCGGCTCCCCCGACCAACACCCAGAACTTTGCCACATACAGAGAAGGCTATAACGTATACGGAACCGAGAGTGTTAAGATCTAGAGGTACGTCACCTCTCCTCACTGTGCACACACTCGGGCAATGTGGGAGATGAATCATTTAGCTCCCTGTCATATCTGTTGGAGTAAATTATTTATTTGTATGTGTTGTTGTGAAGCTGCTGCTTGTGAAATTGTTTATGGTTGTCATGTTGGCCACGACAGAATACACATGTCCACTCAAATACAAAACTCTGAGATATTGTTTATGCCTTGTAACATATAGCTGCATGGATAGTGCACCAGGCTACACAAAGGCTACAACACATAATCTAAGCAAGTTAGATACACAAACTGTGCGTTGTCATAGAACTACTGTATAGAGCTATTTTGCATTGTGTAAAAATTGAGCATGTGTTTTATTCTGATTGTAATCTGATCTTTGACCGGTCAGATTTTTAGTCTTACCACAAAGGGTATTTAGCCTCGCCACTGGCGCTCCCTCTCCTCGTTCACACTCTAGGTCGCTTGAACACCACTGCTCTCAAACAAATTTAAACAAACCAAAAGAAGCTTGTTGGTATTGCTGTTTTTCAGCATAAACTGTAAGCCAGACATCAAAGCTGGGTACACGAAATAAACCAAGCGAGGACACCACTGGGAAAGTATCATAGTTTAGTCCATGAACTCCTCCGGGATAGTGCCTGGTTTCAGTGATATTTCAGACTGACTATGGAGCAATTTGACCAGTCTGATCGACAGATTGGCCACTGTAGTGTGATGTCGGGGTTGTTGCATTTTTTTCTGGCATACCTACGCCATCTCTGATGGAGGGGAAGCGCCTGATTTGGTCTGAATTCTGATTTAAGATTAATTTGCGTTGTTTTTATGTCCACCTAATGTTAGGTAGCTATGCTATAAAACATGTTCACCAACTACTCGCTAATAATATCTCTTATTTTGAACTGGGCTGGGAGTTTTTAGAGCTTGAAAACAGAGCCCAATACAGCTGCCTGCTGAGGCTGAATCAAAACAGTAAAGTTGCGAGACACAAAACCAAAACCACAAGCTCAAAGACGCTAAAATGCTCCACAGGGCTGAGGGGAAGAGCTTCTCCGTGGGTTTGTCACTATGAGTGACCTCAGTCACATTACATGTAATCATTTAAGACATTGTTAATATAAAAATATTGATTAATGCAGCTTTAAAAACTAGGTAGTTAGTTCCAATAAAAACTCAAGTGCCCTTTAATACCACTAGAGGTAAGTGAGAACATGCTAAATTTATCTATACAGCAGTTCTGGATGAGTTCACTGTTAAATATTGTGAGTTTTGTATTTGATTGGATTGATTGCATGTGTTCTGTTGCTTCTTGTTAAACAAAGTGTGTCATGTCCGTTTACAGAAGTACAGCTGTTAGACAGAGCAACATAATTTAAAGGCAAACTAAATTTAAAGTCAACTTCCTAATTTTCACCCACCATGAGTCATACACATACAATCATATATTAAAAACCTAAACTCTTTCCATGTTTGCTTCTGCTCTGTATGTTGACACAGGTTTAGGAAACATTTCCATTGTCCCTTACAACTGTGACTAAACATCTATGACAGGACAGGATCGCGGGGATTGAGCTCCAAGCCAAATCCTCTCAGACACGGCACGATAATCTGCAATGACGACACGACTGGACTGGTCACGGGAAGAGCCGATGCGGTTCCCTCCTCTCAGTGCCTTATGGAACTCTGAGTCCAATCAATGCAACTCATTCACAATGATATTGCTTTTTTGCTTGAAACTCATACAAAACAGAAGAGTGGTGCAGTGATTACAAATGTAGATGTATTATATATGTATATATATATAATACATTAGACACGCTACAATGAATGAGAGAACTAAAGCCATCATTTGCAACCCTAAGCACATTTTGAAGTGCCAGAAAGAGGACAAATCTTACATGACAGGTGTCTAATTGGTTTCTTGTAATCAATACGATCAGATTACTCTTCATCCTTCTGCTGCCAGATTTTCACTGGTTATATGTGTTCAAATAATTTTATTAGAACTATTCAGTGCACTGTAAGACACTGGTTATTAGACAATAGCTTTTATACTGCTGTAAGTCACTTATGGTGACCTTGTACTTGTTTTAAAAGACAGATTGATCTCACTGAGCGAAACGCCATTCAACCCAAAACAATTATGAGTGTGTTGTTTGTACTCTAAACTCTGGTGCTGCTGCCACTGTCTCCTGAACGTTTGATGGGACTCATGAAGATGAGAAAATGATCTGGTTTGGCTTTTATGCACCACAGAACCAGGTCATGATTCGCACGTCCAATACTGCCAAGAGTGTGTTTTGTATGACAAAGAGTGTGTAAAGAAAAGTATTCATGGTTGAGTAAAAATGAAAAAAATGAAAAATGAAAAATTCTGTTTGCAATTTACAGTTTGTAAAATATAGTACTGACTTGTTAAGGTGCGTCGCTCCAAACAGTCTTTCCCTGAAGTCTCGAGTCATCCAAGTCTTCTGTACATGAAAGTAAGACCAAACAGAAAGGGTAATTCAATTGTAGATTAACTGCAATCCAATTAAAGGATAACAGTAATGGCTTTTAAACTGTAGTATTTTGGATTACCTTACCATTTACTTTAACAATTGCACATTTTACAATGAGCTGTGGTTTGCTTTTAATTTGATATCCTTTAATGAGCATTACAGTGTTTGGTGACTTCACTTAGTAAATGAAAATGAAAAATATACGACTACAACGGAAAATAGATTTATACAAGGTTATACCAGGGAGAGTCCTGAAGCTTAGCACATTTCCATATTGCTGTAATAATTTCTTTTCTTCAAAAATACTGTGATTCCATAGGATTTAGGAAGATAATTATCTAATCACCTGAAACTATGGGTGGGTAGTTTTATTTTTTATTTTTTAAAGAATAATAAACTGATAATTTGAAGAGAAAAATAAAGAATGAGTTGAGAACGATGTGTACATTCAGATAAATGAGAATTATTTATATTACACGATGAAAGATCAGTCTCCTTTTTATTTTATTTTAGGTTCTTTTTTATTTTTCAAAGAAATTGCATGTCAAATCAGTGATGCTTGACGAGCTCTGCTACTCACAAGCTGACCTTAGGTTAACGTTAGAAATCCAGCCCTGGATATTCTTTTGTAAATCAGTTTCACCTTTTTCTTTTTCGAACACCTCACCTTCTGCATCAGCAAAAATCGCCAGGCATAGTAGTGGGTACAAAAGAGCAAGAGATGCATGCATAATTTGCTGAACCTCATTAGTGAGGCGCTGTACAGAGAATTTTAATACATTTTGTAAATAAAGTGTACAGAAACAGTCCTGTGTCTTGGGTTCGTGTCATTTCGCTAACACAATTTGAGTCTGCGTACGCTGAAAGAAACACTGGATGATTTTGTGGCCTGCGGGGGGGTTACAGGGGCACATCTCAGCAGTCGCTGGTGGTGTATCAGTAGCCTGACCAGCCCCCTGCAGACAAATACACAAAGAGAGGACTTTTTCCTATAATGGTCCAATATTGAGCCGTTAGTCAGTGGAAGTGAGCGTGCATGTTTTGGATCAATAGTAAGCACCATCTGCCTCACTCTCGCTCTCCTGCCTTGCATACACTGATTGAGGGGTCCATTGACAGCTTCATCTGGCATGTGATCTCTCTCGCTCTCTCTCTCTCTCTATAAGATGCTTTGTGACACAATCAATAATGTATTATTATAACCACCAAGTACAAAACATAATGCACACGGATAGTGTGTCACTTATAATTCCAGCACAAGTTTTAAGCTTCAAAACTATATTTTAGGGAAGACATTTTCATCAGGATTCACTTAAGTAAATACAGCAAAGGGACAGTTAATCGTTTAAACCCTGCTTATTCCCACGGTGTAAATTCTCGCATGTGCAGTAAATCAGCACAATGCTCAATAGATGCCCAGACAGTCTGTGCCATTTTACTGGTCTCTGGGTCTGCATTGTGTGGTTAAAATGAATTCCTCCTTCCAGAGATCCAGTCTGCCACAGCTCACATAACAAATCCAACAAACATGGCAAAATACCAGTGTTTTCTTTCATTTTTGGATGCAGACACTATGATTCAGGATTTATTCGCTGCACCAGTCCTGTGGAACAGACTAACGCTATGAAAAGCTACTGTATGATCCAAACAACCAATTTCTGACTATGCTTGAAAGGATATTGCTTTTTTGTTCTTCCTTTGCTTCTCTACCTCTCCTTTTTTTGTCTTTTGTTATGCCTGGACTGCTTTCAAACAGGAGCAAGACAACATGGGGGAGTGGTCCGCGAGGATGGCACTGCACTGCAGTACATGATGCTCATGAGACTATTCTCTGGAATTAGTTAACTCACCTATCACACACTGCAACACAGTGGCGGTGTTGATGCTGCAAGGACAGGAAAAAACAAAGAGGCAACAAGCAGGCCTTTCATTCAGAAAGTGACACAACGAAAGGAACCGTTAATCTAATCACAAGAGCAGGAGAGCAGATTTGCTCCCACTAGAGGACAACTAATCATCCCCTCTGTGTTGTTGCACACTTCTCACATGTTTCGAACTGTGCGACTATAGGCCAGCTGCCTCTTAGGGCCTTTGGCTGTGAAAGTTAATCTGATCTAACATGGATTCTGCCACTCATAGGAACATGGTTATGTGTGTGCGCATGAGAGAAGAGGAGAAAGAGTCTGTGTGCGTGTGTGAGTGTGCGCGTGTGTTTGTGCGCACGCGTGCATGTGTGTGTGTGTGTGAGAGAGAGAGAGAGAGAAAGAAAGAAAGAGAAAACTCAAAA